CCTTAACTGTTCTCTCAAAAATTTACTATAGGTTTTAATTACAAACCATACAAATGCATCACTTCATGGCCTTTTGGCTAAGATCAAGTATAGTACAAACCATACAAATGTAACTTTTTTAATACTCAAAGAATGGTCCTTATGTTCTGGTTGTTCATATTTTTAATTTTATGCCTTTTTTCCCCCAAAGATTTATTTATTTACACATACAGAACTAGGGTACAGGTCAGAGGTGCAGGGTGGTGAGAGGATTTACCAGAGACAGAGTGGGGAGCACAACAGGCAGGTCCACAAAGTACACTGCTGAGGGGAGCAGCAGGCGAGACAGGAGAGGTCAGCCGGGCCATGTGGGTCACTTTCAGGGCTGGGGATCGAACTCTCACTGAAGTGGCTGCAGCTAGTTTGCAGTGCTGCACCCTAACTCCCTGTGCCAGCAGGGGTTGGGGGTGGTGGTGCGCATGCATTCATTTCATTCAGAAATGCTTTGGGTTCCTCAATACCAGGCACTATTCCAAGTGTAGTGCTCAATATATAACACAGACAAGGACCCAGCAATGAGACAAATTAACAAAAAAATTAAGTGGTGCTAACTACTGTGGAAAATTGAGTGATGTGATAGGGTGAAGTGACCACTTCAGATTGAGAAGTCAGGGCAGGATTCTCTGAGATGACATTCAAGCTGAGACCTGAATGATAATGATATGTATATGTTTTGAATATTCATGTGGATATGGGAGAAGCATTCAGGTTGGGTAAGGCCCTAAGATAATGAGGAGGTTGGCGTGTGTAGGAGTAGAGAAGGTCTGCACAGCTGAAGCAGAGCCAAAGATGAGAGCTCTAGGAGTGGAGGTGGTGTTGAGGTCAAATCAGGAAGGATCTGTGGGTCAGGATAAGGTACTTGGATTTAAGTTTAAAGGCTACAGGAAATCTTGAAAGATTTTTAAGCAGGGGAGTGACATGATATAATTTCCATGAACATATTATCAAGATTAGGGCCATGTACTGAAGAAAATTGGCTAATGCTGAGCCTCTAACCAAAACGGACAGCAGATTGCATTTAGTCCAGGGCATGCTAAATACAGGCAGCCCACAGTCCTGAGAGTTTGCCTTACACAACTCATTTTTACAAAAGAAATAAGTACATGTTTGAGATAGTCAAAAGGAATCTGAGGATTTTTTTTTTCTCCATTTTGTCAAAAGGTAAAACGTGAAAGTAGCATTCAGTGTTTGTGTCACATCAGCCCTTTCAGGCAGCTGCAGGCTTGTGCAATTGCGAGAGAGGCACCTGCAGGTCCTGAACTACTTTATACAGGCATGCATTTACATACAGTTCCTGCTCTTACTATACCTTAGCATTGCCTTAAGTTTTGTGTCATTTGACATGATTTGGTGGGTTATTTTTGGATCTGGAAACACTTAAATTTTTTCTATAAAAAAATTCATGGTAATTGCTTCTTTGCTTTATGCCATTTGGACTTATAAAGAAGGAGTACTCATAGGAGCACTTTACTTTTGATAATAGGCAAAATCTGGATAGCCCAATTTTTCTGAAAAACCATAAACCTCAGAGTTTAGAAACAGGCTTAATTATATTGCTTTGACTTGCAGCTCCATTATTTTGTAACCTTGGGCAAATTATAAGAGTAATTTTTGTACAAGTTTCCTCATCATTAAAATGAAGATAATAATTGTACCTACCTAGGGTTGTTGTCAGAATTGAACTATTTAAGTAAAATGCTTAAAACAATGCTTGGTACATAGTAAGTACTTAATATTTAATTTTACTTTTTTTATAAATATGGATCTTCTCATATAGTCACATGGTAATCTGTAAATTTTATGAAATTCAAATGAAGAGCAAGTATTGCTGATGAAAACCTAGCAGCTAACTTTAGATAAGCTATAATTGTAAACACACCAGATTTATTTAATATTAAAATAAGCTAAGTATCTCTATTTTTATAATGGTTACTTGCTGAAATGATATTTCAATGTTGCATTAAGTAAGATGTATTATTAAAAGTGTTTTCTTTTTTTACTTTAAAATATGACACTAGAAAACTTAAAATGACATAAATGGCTTGAATTATATTTTTGTTGAATGGCATACTCTAGTCCCTGGGTTGGGGAAAGAGTAGTGGACTAGGGAAGATAGTGGACTAGGGCAGGTGCTTTTTCTAATTATACAAAGAGCCAAAACATCTTCACCCAATGGAACCATTCTCCCCTTCAAATTAATCCTACCTCCTTCCTTCTTAAGAATTACTGCTCATCACCAATAAGAGTGTTTTGTATTCTTCAGATGTGTCAGGGTAGATATAAGTTACAAATCACTACTCTGTATTAAAGGATATTGCACAAGTTAGATGCTTATCAGTAATTTTGATGAAATAAATTTCTAGATGGTTCTTTCAACTAATATTATTACCATGTAAAATTGTTCTCTGAAATAACCACTTATTCTGGTCCAGAAAACCCCAGACACTCAAAATGAGGAAGAATTAAGGTAAATTTTAATTAAGGGTTAAAAGCTGGAAAAATTGGGAAAGACAGAAAGATGTTTTGGCTCTTTGTATAATTAGAGAAAACTAAATTTCCAGAAATCAAACAAACCATCTCAAAAAGTTAAATAACCATGAAGTGAAACTACACCTGGGCTTCATGATGGAGGGCTATGTGTCCTTTTGGTGGTGAGCCTGATGTGTAAATATACACCTGGAAAGATGTAACTTATACCTCAAAATCATATACAGTGTGGTAAATCAGTGTTACTTTAGTTAAAAAAAAATGTTAAACTTTGAAAGAATAACAATAATATTCCATTGGATATATAGACCACAACTTGTTTATCCATTTATTTATTGATGGACACTTGGATTGTTTCTATCCTTTTGCTGTTAGTAATGCGGCTATGAACATCAGTATACAAGTACCTTTTTCAATCCTGTTTTTTTTTTAAAGATTTATTTCTTTCTTCATACAGAACTGGGGTACAGGCCAGAGATGTGGAGGGTAAGAGGGTTCACCAGGGACAGAGTGGGGAGCAGAACAGGCAGATCGCCGAAGTACACTGCTGAGGGGAGCAGCGGGCGGGTCAGGAGAGGTCTGCCACGCCATGTGGATCTCCTCCGGGGCAGGCAGGGATTGAACTCATGCAGAAGTGGCTTTAGCTTCTTAGTGCAGTGCTTTAACCCGCTGCGCCGCCAGGGAGGGACCTCAATCCTGTTTTTAATTCTTTGGGGAGAAACCTACGAATGGAGTTGCTGGATCATTGTATGTGTAGTAGTAGTTGTATATTTAATCTTGATCCATTTCATAATATGTGCACCATTTTTTATTCCCACTAGCAATTCACAGGGTTTTAATTTCTCCACATTCTTACTACAACTTTCTATTTCTCTTTTCATAGTAGTCATCCTAATGGATGTGAAGTCTTATTTCATTGTGATTTTGATTTGCATTTTCCTAATGAGTAATGATGTTTAGTATCTTATCATGTACATATTGGTTATTTGCCTGGATAAATGGAGAAATTCTCTTCCAGTAATTTGCCCATTTCTGAGTTGGGTTGTTTAAAATTTTGTTGTTGTTTAGCTATAGGAGTCCTTTTTTTTTTAACAACAACAAAAAAAGATTTATTTATGCATACAGAACTGGGGTACAGGCCAGTGGTGAAGGGGTGGTGAAAGGATTCACCAGAGACAGAGTGGGGAACAGAACAGGCTGCTGACAAAGTACACTGCTGAGGGGAGGAGTGAGCAGGTCAGGAGAGGTCTGCTGCTCCATGTGGATCACCTTTGTGGCAGGGATCAAACTCATGCTGAAGTGGCTTTCGCTTCTTAGTGCTGTGCTTTAACCTACTGCACAACCATTGAGGGCCCTATAGGTGTTCTTTATGTACTCTAAATCCCTTATCAGATAAAATATTTAGAGTATTTGCTCCCATTGTATAGGTTGTCTTTTCATTCTTGCAGTTATATCCTTTTTTTTTTTTTTTCGCAGTTATATCCTTTTATGTACAAATGTTCATTTTGGTGAAGGCTAGTTTATTCTTTTATGGCATGTGCTTTCAAGTACATAGCCAAGAATCCTTGCCAAATTCACATAATGAACCTTTTCCCCCCGTTTTTTTCCAAATAATATTTTATGACTTTAAGTCTTAGATTAGGTCTTTGATGCATTTTGAATTAATTTTTATTTACGGTGTAAGGTAAAGATTCACCTTTATTCGTGTACATATCGATAATTCAATTTTCCCAGCATTATTTGTTGAACAGAATATCCTTTTCCCATTGAATGGTCTTGGCACCTTTGTTACCATATACTTGATGGTATATGTTAGAATTTAATTCTTGGCCCTTTATTCTATACCAAATGTTTATTGAGCCAAATGTTTATTCTTATGTCAGTAGCATGTTGTTTTGATTATTGTATCTTTGTAATAGCTTTTGATCTCAGAAGTGTGATTTTTTAAACTTTGTTCACTATTTTTGAGATTACTTAAGCTATTTGTGCTCTTTTGAGATTCCAGGATTTTAGACTGTCTTTTTATATTTTTGTGAACAGATGTTATTGGGATTTTGATAGTGATTGCATTGACTGTAGATCACTTTGGATAATATTGTTAACAATATTTGTCTTCCATTTTATGAACACAGGATGTCTTTGTTTTTATTTATTTCTGCAATATTTTGTAGTTTTCAATGTATAGTTACGTGGCTCTTATATTTCTCAAAGTAAATTAACATTCTAGTTTATCTAGCATAGTTTAATGACCTCATATCTGCCTTTAAGAGTCTGTTCTGTCTTTAACAGAACAGGTATTCTGAACTCACCAAACTGAGGGAACAATTCTAGAAACTAGAAATCCAACCATTTTCTGCCATTGCGAAGTTCTGTTTGGGTATCCAGCTTACTGGTTTCCTCTGGTAAAAATCAAATTTCATTGCAAGTCTCCTTTCTACAGTACTTCACATTTCTGATTTTCCCCTTTTTCTTCTAGATCTGTCCATCTTGCTAAGGAGGAACGATTTCCTATTTGGTATAACTGATGATACCATGCAAAATTCAGATCCTCGAAAAGGTCAGAATCTGTATTTATATAAATAATAGAAATAGTTATCTTATTGTAGGCTGTGTATGAATGTATCACAAAAACCTTTTAGAAAGAATAAAAGTATCTCATTCTGTCTTGCCAACTTATCCTACAGTTTTAACAAATCCTGAATGTCATTTATATAGTTCTTTATCACTTGCAAAGTACTCTTAATATAATTATAGTCTTTATATTTTAACCTTATGAAGTAGGTACTCTTTCTATTCCTGTTTTATGGAAACGTGAAGGACTAATATATTTATTCAAAATTTTGTTAGTATGCACTGCATGATTTAGTTCTAGATCTTTTGTTTCTAAATGCTACCCTTCTTACTACATCACATGTTCAGAATCAGAATTTAGAGGAATTTTAAGTTTGAAGCTATATAAACATTGATAATAGTAGGCATAAAAGTCAATGAGAAAGATTTAAGCCCCTTTATGAATATAAAATGTTAGTAAATTAGATCTTGATATTGAGTATCTAACATACAATCTTAGGGATGATACCACATATCTCCATATATAATACCATTTTCTTAGTATGGCAATGAGTCGCCTCACAAAGTATTTCCTACCTACTCTTCTGTATCATATCATATCAGTTTCTGTCATTCATCTCTGTAGCTTACCCTATCCCTATCCAACTAAAATAAACAGCTGACTATTGGCCAGATATACTGTCCATTTCCAAAGGTATCTGGCAACTTTGTACTCTGTGCCCTTCAACCTAAAGTATTTATTCATCTTTTGTCAACAATCCTGACTCAACTTCATCTCTTCTATGTACCTTTCCTCAATACTCCAAGCAAAGCTAATAGTTCCTTTCTGATTTTCCAGAGCACTTAGTGTAGCAAATTCTCGTTGTAGCAAAAACCACATACTATGATTACGTATTTGAGCTGCCACCTTCCTACTAATCTGAGTTCCTTCCAAGCATAAGCTGGGACTTAATAGTCTTTGTGTCCTTAACATCCCATGTTATTCCTAAACTTTGTATATTTTTGTCTGATGAACTAAAAAAAGGAGCTTTTCCTCAAAGAGCTATGCATTACTCTGAAAGACTGGACACATAAAAAATACATAGGAGCTTATAAATAAATATAGTATACGCTTGAAGGAAAGTAGAGGAATGATATCTGGTGTAATTATATCAGGAGTATTCCACTAAATCAGGGATTAGTGAACTGATCCATAGGCCAAATCTTGTCTGCTGGCTGTTTTTGAAAATAAAGGCTTTTGGAACATAGCCTTGTTCATTTGTTAATACAGTATTGATGACTGCTTTCATGCTACAACAGCAGAGTTGAATAGTTCCAACAGAAACCATATTTTCCAAGAAAGTGAAACTCTTTACTATCTGGCTCTTCACAGAAAGTTTTCCAATCCCTGTTCTAGGAAGACTGGATTTTGAATAGAGGTATGAAATGATGAGGAATGTGAATTGATGAACTTTGAATGTGCATCATAATGCAATAAAACAAACCATAGTGGAAGGTATGCTAAGTATGAAGGTTTTGTTCTAAGCCAGTTTGTCAAAGCTATATTGAAGAGATAAAATGCCAAAAATGCTTTGGATTGTTGTAAATATGTTAAATCGGCAGGATATAAAATTAATACATAAAAATCAGTTGCATCCCTTTATATAAACAGTGAATTAAAAGAAAGAGAAACTTTGGGCCCTCCCTGATGGTGCAGTGAGTTAAAGCACAGCACTAAGAAGCTAAAGCTACTTCATCTTGAGTTCAATCCTCGCCCCTGAGGTGACACACATGATGCAGCAGACCTCTCCTGACCTGCCCACTGCTCCCCTCAGCAATTTACTACTTTGTCAATCTGCCTGTTCTGCTCCCCACTCTGTCTCTGGTGGAGCCTCTCACTGCCTCTGCACCTCTGGCCTGTACCCCACTTCTGTATGCACAAATAAATAAATCTTAAAGGAAACTTAAAAAACCCTATTTACAGTTCCACCAAAAAGAAAAAACATCTGGGAGTAAACTAATGAAGCAGTACATTGAAAACTGGGCCTCCTTGTGGCACAGTGGTTAGTCTTACTGCTGTCAAGCTGTTGACAGCCACTGCAATATGAGTTCAATCCCTGGCCATGAAGCTGACCCACATGGCACAGCAACCTCTCCTCTCTCACCTGCTCCTCCCCTTGGCAGTATATTTCCATAGACCTACCTGCCTGTTCTGCCCTCACTCTTTCCCTGGTGAATCCTCTCACCTCCTATACCTCTAGCCTACACCTTATTTCTTATATGCATAAATAGATAAGATAAAATTTTTTTAAGATTTATTTATTCATACAGAACTGGGGTACAGGCCAGAGATGCGGAGGGTGAGAGGATTCACCAGAGACAGAGCGGGGAGCAGAACAGGCAGATTGACGAAGTACACTGCTGAGGGGAGCAGCGGGTGGGTCAGGAGAGGTCTGCCACACCATGTGGATCTCCTCCAGGGCAGACGGGAATCGAGCTCATGCGGAAGCAGCTTTAGATTCTCAGTGCTGTGCTTTAACCCGCTGCGCCACCAGGGAGGGCCCAGATAAATTTTTTTTTAAAAATTTAAAGACAACTGAAAACTTCATTGAAGGAAATAAATGAAGACCTAATGAAATGGAAATATGCCCAATAGCCATGGAGTAGAATAGAATAAATATGTTAAAATGTCCACATTACCTAAAGTAATTGTTAGTAATTACAATGATTTTCAAGGAAATAGAAACAATTATAAAATTTATATGGAACTACAATAGACCTCACATAGCCAGAGTAACCCTGAGGAAAAAGAAGAGAAATAGAGATATCATGCTCCTTGACTTCAAAATATACTACACAGCAAGAATAATTAAAACAGTATGGTGTGGATCAAAAACAGAAACACAGACCAGTGGAAAAGAATAGAGAGCCAGAAATAAACTTTCACAAATATGGACAGTTAGTCTTTGACAAAGAGCCACCACATTACAGTGGAGAAAGGAAAGCCTCTTTAATAAATGGTTGTGTAAAAAAATTGCAGCCATATGACAAAAGAAAAAAGATTCTTAATTTCATATACAAAAATTAATTCAAATGGATTAAGGTCCTGGATATAATTATCAGAAAGGGAGGGAAATGGGAGAAGAGGACAAGGGAAGGAAGCGAATAGGCCTCTGTCACAGGAGTACTGGTGGAGGGTGAGTGACGCATGTGCGCAATGAGGTGTGGGAATGCACACACACAATTACATAGATATGAAAATGTCAAATTAACATCAATACCTGAAAAATTTAAAAAATAAGGAAAACAGAAATAGAATGGAAAGAAAATGTCAAGTAATCACCTTGCACTTCTATAGGTAAGGTAGTTTCCTAAAAAGTAGCAGGGCGTGATGATGCTGATAGAAAAGGAAGCAACAACACAGTTAGCACTGAGTGTTTGTGTCATGTTCTGTTATGTGCCATGTGCTGCTCTGAGTGCTTATATGTAATCTGTGTGATCTTCCCAGCAACTATAGGAGTAATTGTTGTTCTTGTCTTTATTTTACAGATGAGGAAATTGAGACACAGGAGATTAAATTACTTAACCAAGGTTATACAACTAGTAAGTGATAGATCAAAATCTGAATGCAGGCAAACTGACTACATATCTTTATAATAGAAGAAGGAAATCTGGGGATATTTGGTAAAAAGACCTTTAAGCTTGGAGTGAGGTGATTTCTCTGGGAGATTAGGAATTGTGCTATCCTCTCATGCATGATAAAGAACAAATGAAGAAACCATAGGAGAATAATATTGGAAGACAAGAGTGTCCTTGTCTAGATAGATAGAACATACTATAGACTAGGCAGATGGGAGGGAAAATGTGGGAGTGAAAGGTGGCAGATACATCATACAGCAAGTCTTGTTACAGTTAGTCATTGAGTTTAACCTTAATGAGGCCAGAAATCAGTTAGCTTTCTTGTACATATGAAATCTGTCTTTAAATGCCTGAAAAAATGGACTTAACTCAATTGAGCTAGAGATTTGCAGTGACTTTTCAAGAATGTGTAGGGGCATTCTCCTCCTATACCCCTCCTTCCCCCCCCTACCCAATATATCTTAAACATATAGTTGACAAATCATTATACACACAATTTCCTTGATTCTATTTTTTTCCTCTGTTCCTTTAGGGGGAAGAAACCTATCACCCCTTAAGAGATTTTTTTTAATGTGTATATATGTATTAAAGTAATTTTAAACTATTAAAATGATATAAATATATTGTGAAAAATCACCCACAGAGGTATACCAAATGAAGGGGGAACTTTCCCATTACCACCTTGTTCTCTAGAGAGCATCTCTATTAAAATTTGATTGTATTTGAAACTTTTTACTGATGAAAATGTGCTGGGCTTCCATCATGGTTATTGAGATAGAAAAATATAGAGAATGACTTCTTTAATGCCAAGGTCCACTTCCAAGAGTAGAAGGGAGATGTTGAATCTTCATCACTGGAAGTGTAAGGCTTGTAGAGATGATAGAAGATGCAAGTTTTAGCTAGAGTTGGTGGAATTAGAGACCAGAGTAAGAGGGGACAATGAACTAAATGAGTTTTAACATCACTTCCATACCTGTAAATCTGTATTTCTACCAACAGACTGATTACCCAACACAGAGAAAGACTCCAATGTGATTTTGACATAGTTGACTTGAGTGGAAGACAAAGGCTGTAAGAAGAAATTCAGTATCTAAAATTTGAGTTTATAGAACAAGTTACTTTGCATCACATATTGAACTTTGTATAAAAATTTATTTTAACTAACCATCTTGTGTTCAGAATACACTTCATTTTTATTAAAAATTCCATATGAACTTAACATTTGAGGACTGTGTGTATTGTGTAAAATAAAGTTCAGTACACATTGTCCATTATTTCAAAGAAGAAAGATCTTTCCGAATATCTACCAGTTTAATTGCAGTGGACTTGAACTGGGCTCCTGCTGCTACTGTCCCATAATCTAATAATATAGTAGAATTTAGACCTTAGTGATCATGAGTGAAGTCCAATACCTTCATTTTGTAAATGAGGAAAATAAAAACTAAAGATGATGTGTTACTTGCTTAGAGTCTCACAGTATCCTGGCTAGCTATAACATATGTAAAGTGCCTCCCTTAATCCCAGTAAGTGGGATATACAGAAGCAGAAGGAAAAGAAGGGGCTTTTGTTATTTCTTCTGTCCCTTACCACACACACTTCTGTAAGCCTTCAGAGAGAAACACACACACACAAACACACACATTCATCCCATGCTGTAAACCTAAAGCTGCATAATGTTGTAATGGTGAAACCAATAATTGCATACCCCTCTGAAATTACAGAGTCTCAGATCGGAAGGACTTTTAAAGGTTACCTAATCCAGTCTCCCTCTTTCTCCTCATGATTTGATTTAACTTCTCCAAAAGGTTATTTTACTCTTTCATACCCTCAATGATGACAGATTCATACCTTCCCTTTCCAGAGACTTCACCCTATTGTTGATGCCTCTGGTTGCCAGCATTCTTCCTAGTAATGAAATGAAACCTAGCTACTTGTATCTTCCATCCACTAATTTAAGTTCTGTCTCGTGAAGTAATGACTGAGTAAAGCAAATCTCATCTCTCCTCAACATAAGAACACTCCTACTTGAAAACAGCCCTCATATTTACCTTGAGTTTTCTCTTTACAGGTTAATCTCTCCACTTTCTTAAATCCTCACTAGCCTTGATACTTTTCCTGGATATAGCCTTGATACCTATATCTCATGCAGAGTATAGGACCTAGATTTGAACCTAAAGTTCTTCCTCTGAAGTGTTCTGACTAATAAAGTAGGTCATCCAGTACTGTCATCTTTTCCTTCATTCTGGATACTGACTGAAATGAGGATAGCGATGCGTGGTGGTGGTGGTAGTGCATTATTTATTTCATGAATCAGATCCACACATGTGTGCCAGGAACTGTGTTGCACCATTGATATCACTGACTACCTTCTGTGTTCAGGGAAGCATGAAGCAAAGAATTCTAAGCAATATTAGCTCCCCCTTTTTTTTCTGGATCACACCTCTATAAGCTGCTAGAAAGTGTGTATGTGTATGTGTGTGTATCATTCTACTAAGGCTGCCTGAGACAAAGAGAATTATGTCTTCCCTGAATTTTCATTAGCCACTCATTGCTACTGCTTTGCTTATTAAAGAAAATAACTGGTGTGCTCTGGGGTTCTTTTCTGTGTGTACATACACACCAAAAGATATAATTGCTATAGAGGGAGTGGGGGTTGGGATAATCACCAAGGAGAGGTCTGCTTCATCTTCTTTGTTCACATCTGCTGCAAGCACAAGACAGGATTTACTGCTCTCTTTGAGAAAGGGATTGCCTTGCTTTCTTCCCCTCCCCCACCTCTTTTCACAGATCATCCCAGATGAATATTACCATCTCATTACACTTATCTCTGAATAAAGTACAGTTAATCACTGAGTGCTGAAGGTAGAAAATCAGCTGAAAAGCACAAGGAATACTTGCTAATAAGGGAGAGTGGCTAATCAGTGGCACATCCTGGACTAGTCCTGTCTCCTACCTCCCTGTAGCTTATATTCCATGGCCAGAGTGTGACAAGTATTCTGCTCCCAGCTTTTCTGTTTTGATTTCCATGTATACTGGCATAGGATTATGGTTTATCACAAGCACAGAATACGAAGAATTCTCTATTTAGTTTCAATGGTTTTTAGAAGTACACGTGATACTTTTTCTGGCTTCTGGTTTCCATTTCTAGAGGAAATAACCCTCTCCTGGCTCCCTCTCCCCTTCTTCCCCATTCTCTTTCACTGGTATGTGCATGTAAACTTGCATACTACTTTTGTGTTTTCACGTTCTATGTATTTTTAAAACATGGTACATCCTTTGTTTAATCTGATTTTATATAATCAAATCCCAGACCATGCCTAATCTTACTCATTGTTCATATCAAGTTAACAAGCATCTGTGCTTCAGTTTTTACTGTAATAAAATGTGTACATTCATACTACCTGGTTATTGTAATCCCCAAGCTGGACTATTTTATGTTAGAAATATTTCTAAGGCTCCCTATTTGTGGATTTTTTTTTTAATAGAGGAAGTGAAGTTAAAAGTGATTTGAATGCAAATTGCTCCTTTTCTACTCAGTATTAATTTTACCTCTCTGGCTATCATTTCCTCTTTAGTAAGGAGGGGTAATGGTATCATATTATGTGGTGTCATGCTGATGATTCAACAAGATACTGTTGTTTAAATACCTATAGCATATCTGCCACATAGTAAACACTTAGAAATAACAAGCTGTATGATATTAATGATAATTGTTACTAAGATACAAGTGATAACTTTACAACTGATTTTTATCTTAGTGTAATATATGGAGAATTTTTTCCTACTTTTTTCTTGCTTCAAGTGATGATTATGATTATTTTATGATTATTTTATCATATTTTGAAAAATATTTATATAGCCTTATAGATATTGCTACAACATATTATCTTCCACTTAATGGTTTCCAGAAATACTAGAATTTTTACTTTCTTTTTATTCTGCATTGTCAAATACAGTAGTCACTGGCCATCTGTGTCTATTCAAAATTAATAAAAATTAAGTACAATTAAAAATGCAGCTCTTCAGTCACACTAGTCAGATTTATAGTGCTGCATAGCCACATGCGGGCTAGCAGATGCCAGTTAGAGATGCAGATAACGAACACTTGCATTATTGCAGAAAGTTCTGTTGGATTATATTCACTAGTGATTATTTGTCTGTGCCTTGTGTGCTTTTATCAGCAATTAAAGGTGTATTTGCTAGGATGTTCTAGGAGACTACTTTCTTAGTATTTTAGGGCTCTTGGCAAATCCATTTTGAGGATTTAGGTTGTTATTCCTTTTCTAATCCCTGTGTCACTACTGTCTTTGGGACAAAGTACAAGTACTTTCACTTCCCCAAGAAGATTGCATTGTCATAATTTTTAAAGATCTCAGCCGTAAGAGGAAGCCAAAAAAGAGGCAAAGTGGAAGTAACTTTAATAGATGTTCATTAGAATAATTACTTAAATCATGAGTATCAGTACCATAGAAGTATATTTAATTCTGCTTTTTCCTAATAAGAGAAGTAATGTACATTGTATATTCAGGATCTTTGTTTTCCCTCTAAGAAAGGTAATAAACAAGTTTTTCCTTTAATCCCTGTTGTCTGTATTAAGCACTTTAAAAGTCATTTTTCCTTAAGTACTTTACAACAACCTAATGAAGCAAGTAGTTTTAGGCATTATCCCTGTTTTACTGATAAGAAAACCAAGGCTTAGTGAAGTTAAGTAATTTCCTTAAAGTCCTTAAAGGAAAATAGTTGAGATTCATGATGTTAGCAGGCAGATTGAGGAGCACCAAATCTTGCATTTTCTAAATTAGGTTCCGCCATCTACAATGTAAAGACAAAATATACTCTTTAGAGTTTAAGACCTTTAATAAAAAAAAAAAACTTTAACAGAATTTGTGTGCTATAGAGAGAAGAAAGGATAATTGTTTCCAACAAAACACCCAAAGTGACCCATCTACTCATGGGTAAATGCCCAGCCAAACAGGATTTACCCAAAATGGGGCCACTAAGACCAGAAACTTGCTGCAAGTCTAAGGCTCCTTCTGGTGGGGAAAGGGGCAGAAGGGACCAGGCAAGTCTGGAAAAAAAGAAGCAAAATAAAGGACAAGTCAGGATAATGACTTCTCTTGTCAAGCTCCCCACGGGTCTCACCCACATCTTGTCTCTTTCAAGTGTCTCCTTCCATGTCTGCCAAATCCCCTGTGCCACTCGAAGGCTGAAAAGCAAGCACAACTTCTTCACGTCTCTCTGTTCCATGTGCCTCTAGGTCTTCTCCCTCCAGGTCTGCCCTTCACCGGGTGGGGCAAAAAACATGGACTCCCCTTTTTATATCACATTGTTTAAGTAACAGGATGAATTTTAACTTCCAATTCAGTGTTGTTTGTTTTAAGGATTTTTTTTTCCCCCTCTATTTTACCAGCAGTGAGACTGTGGTAAAAGAAAAAAAGAAAAAAGGAAGTTCTTCAGGGCAATTTTGAAACTCTCTGTTGATTGAGATCCTTCCAAAGAATTGCTGTGACCTCATCTGTACTGTAGCCATGTGTATGCTCACACTGCCATGGCAAAGGCCCACAGGCTGGGTAGCTTAATCCAAAAGAAACAAACTTTCTCACAGCTCTGAAGCTGAAAGTCTAAGACTAAGATGTTAGCAGGGTTGGGTTCTGGTGAGGCTCCCTCCTGAGCTTATAGATATGTGTATAGGACCCATAACAAAGGGACCTTCTCCCTTGTTCTCCTCTGACCTCTCTTTCTGTATGTGTTTGTGTCGGGGGTAAGAGTGAGGGTAAGGGGGAGGGAGGGACCTGTTAGCTCTCTTATAGGAACCCCAGGCCTATTAAATTAGTGCCTCACTCTTAGGACCTCATTTAACCTTAGTCATCTCCCTAAAAGACCTTCCCTCCAAATAAAGGTTGGAGTGGGGGGGGAGGGGTAAGAGGGAAACACAACACCGTTCATAATACCATGTTAATGGATTTTTTACTATCTTGACTCTCTGGTTTAGCTGGTTAGTTGGAAACTGTGTTTGTATTCAGTATGTGTATAGGACCCATAACAAATACCTGTATTCTTTATTTCTGTAAATATTGAGAATTAGTTAAATTAAATTTTTGATACTTGCTATGAGGTATTATCTAATCCCAAGATAGTCTAATACGCAGAAATAAATAGTATCTAAACATTCTTATATATAACCCAATTTGTTAATCGCTAAAAGTCTTAAAATTTTATAGGGTAATAAGTATCCCCCTTCCTTCCCACCCTCATTTTACAGATGGAGAAACTAACTAACAGAGAAACTGACTTATCAAAGTCAGAGCAAGGTATTGGTGGATCCAGGAATAAATCCCAGCCCTCTTAACTCCTGATCAGGTTTTAGTTCTTTGACTATGCAGCCTAATGGTAAGTATCTTTTTACTCTATCCTTGAAGTAAAAGGGATTAAGAAATTTAGCAAGGATGGGTTTTTAAGGAATTCCTTATTACTAATTAAATAATCCATGATGTCATTTTTGTCTTAAATTTGAATTTTCCAGATAAGAGGGGAGGTTGGAAGTCTTGCTTTCTAAAAATGTAAAAGTATTTCTATAATAGTTCAACTGCACTATTGTTAAGAAAGGAATGAAAGTAAAACCTATTGTTTATTGAATTTGCAGTCTGTTGGGCACCGTGCTAAACACTTTGTACTATAATAGCTTACCATTTTTATGTTATTTTTAATATCAGATTAAATAGAAAAATATCTTTTGAAGAGTCTAGATTCTAAATAAAATGAGTTTTGAGGACCCCCAAATATCAGATGTCCTTAAAGATAAAATCTTTTATATTTAAGCATAGCTTTTCTAGTACATAATGTCTTCCCACTTTATCCCTTCCTTGGGAAATACTAAGATGATTTGTCTTGCTGATACAAGCTTCCTTTTTCATTTGCCACTAAAATCATACTTTCTCTAAAACCTTCTCTTTTCTTTTCCATTATTTTAAAAATATTTTTACATCCTTCACTTTGTGCATTTTTTTCATCTCAGTTGTAATCCACATGGGCTTCCCACCACCAGTTCACCCGTGTACCATCATCACAGTGCAGTGCACTCTTCCCACCCCAGTTCTGATCCCATTCTCCCTTCCACTCTCATAAAATGTCTCTGGTTTATAGTTGTTCATTGTTTTCATTTTTACTCTATTACTTTTGTTTGTCTCTCTCTCTCTTTTTTTTTT